ATGGAAAAATCTATGTGAAAGAAGCCAATCTAAAAAGGCTACATAAATACTGTATCATTCTGGAAAAGGCAAAGCACTAGAGAGTCAGTAAAAAGATCAGTGCTTTCCAGAGACTTGTAGGGTGAGATAGAGGTATAAAGAGGTAGAACACAGAAATTTTTAGAGCACTAAAACTACTATGCTGAATGATACTTTATTGGTATATACTGTCATTATATATTTGCCAAAATCTATAGAATGTACAACACAAGGAATGAACCTTAATGGAAACTCTGGACTTCACTTGACAGTTTATCAGTATTTGTTCATCAATTGTAACAATTCTACCTCATTAATTTTAGAATGAGGTTAAATCAGAGGAAATTGACTGGGTGGGCGAAGTCAACTCCTTTTTGCCCGTTTTTCCCTGGAAATCTAAAACTGGTCAAATAATAACATCTGTTATTTATTTTTAATTAATAGATACAGAGAACAGATTAGTGGTTGCCCAATCAGTGGTGGGGGTGGGTGGGGTATGGAGGTAGAGGATGGAAGAAATGGGTCAAGGTGGTTAAAAGAGAAAAAATAAGGGGCGCCTAGGTGTCACAGCTAGTGAGCCTCTAACTTCATCTCAGGTCATGATCTCATGTTTCATGGGTTTGAGTCCCATTATCAGGCTCTGAGCTGTCAGCACAGAGCCTGGAGCATGCTTCTGATTCTCTGTGTGTGTGTCTTTCTGCCCCTTACCTGCTTCTTATCTCTCTGTGTCTCTCTTGTTCTCTCTCAAAAATAAATAAACATTTTTTAAAAGATAAAAATAATTAAGTAAATACAAATTTGAAAATTAAGAAAAAATTAAGTCTCTTGAAAAGATCAGTGAAATTGACAAACATATAGCCAGAGTGGCAAAGGAAAAATAATGAAGACATAAACATTAGGAGTGAACCAGGGGATAATTCTACACACTTTTCAGACAAGAAAAGGATAAAGAGAATATTTCAAACAACTCTACATGGACAAATTTCACAATTTGGATGAAATGAATCAATTCCTCAAAAGGTGTAAAGTATCACAACTCACCCAATATGAAATAGACTACTTGAATGGCCCTATAACTATTAAGAAAATGAAATTTATCATTAAAAACTGCCATCCAAAAGAAATCTACAAGTGCCCAAAATTTACAGTTAACATCACACTTAATGGTGAAAAATATAATGCTTTCCCCCTGAGATCAGAAACAAAACAAGATGTTCACTTTGACTACCTTTATCCAATTTGTACTATAAGTTCTAGCTTATGCAATAAAATAAGGGAAGGAAATAAAAGTAACATACAATTATCTGTATTGACAACCCTAAAGAATCTACAGAAACAGTCTTACAACTAATAAGTGAATTGAACAAGTCTCTGGATACCAGATCAACACACAAAAATCAACTAAGTGTTTATATAGGAAAACTGAACATATTGAAGCTGAAATTAAACATATAATACTATTCTCAATCACTCAAAATAGCAAATTTTTAAATGTAAATCTAACAAAACATGTATAGGACTTTTAATGCTGAAAACTACAAAACATTGATGAAAGGAATCAAAGACGTTCTAAATAAATGGAAAGGCATCAGTGTTCATGGACTGAAAGACTCAACAGAGTAAAAATATAAATTCCTCCAAAATTGATATACAGGTTTAACATAAGTCTTATAAAAGTTTCAACAATATTTTTGAAGACAAGAAAATTCTAAGATTCATATGGAAAGGAAATATGCTAGTATAGGTAAGATAATTCTAGAAAAAAATGAAGTGGAAGAAATCCACCTATCTAATGTAAGGACTTATTTTGTAGCTATAGTCAAGACTGTGGGGCACTGGGGTGGCTCAGTCAGTTAAGTGTCTGACTTCAGCTCGGGTTATGATCCCATTGTTCATGTGTTCAAGCCCATGCTGACAGATCAGCACCTGGAGCTTCCTTCAGATTCTCTCTGCCCCTCCCCCACTCATTCTCTCTCCCTCTCCCTCTCTCTCTCTCCTCTCTCTCTCTCTCACTCTGTTTCTCTCAAAAATAAATAAACATTAAAAAAAAAAAAAAAGACTGTGTGGTAGTGACAGGAAAATACAAATAAAGATCAGTGAAAAGGAATAGAGAACCCAGAAAAAGTCCTGCACAAGAGTTTGGCCAGCTTAGTTGATCTTTGACAAGGGTGCAAAAGTAATCAATTCAATGGAGAATGTCTTTTCAAGAAATGGTTCTGAAATAATTTGATATCCACTGAAAACACAAATAAACCTTGACCAAAACCTCACACCTTATATAAAAATGAAATCAAAATGGATCACAGATTTAAATGTAAAAAAATAAACTATAAAAATTTTAGAAGATAAAATAAGAGACAATCTTCAGGAACTAGGGCTTGGTGAAGTATACTTAGAAATGTCTAAATGCACAATCCATAAAAAAAAAAAAAAAAAACAAGAGCTTGGACTTCATCAAGATTAAAAAACATGTTTTCTTCAAAAGACCAGGATGGTGAAAATAAAAGCTACAGAATGGGAGAAAGTATTGCAAAACCACATATCTGACAAGAACTCCTATCCAGAAAATATAAAGAATTCTTAAAACTTAACATTCAAAATCAGTCAATTAGAAAATGAGCAAAATGCTTGAAGAATCATTTCAATGAAGAGAGTATATGGATAGCAAATAAGCACATGGAAAGATTTTCAACATCACTAGCCATTGGGGAAATCAAATTAAAAACTCAAGGATCTATCACTGCATGCACCAATGAGAACAGCTAACTTTTTTCATTCCTAAAAATACCAGATGATGGGGCGCCTGGGTGGCTTAGTCAGTTAAGCGTCCGACTTTCGCTTGGGTCATAATCTCGCGGTTCGTGGGTTCGAGCCCCGCGTCGGGCTCTGTGCTGACTGCCAGCTCAGAGCCTGGAGCCTGTTTCAGTCTGTGACTCCCTCTCTCTCTGACCCTCCCCTGCTCACGCTGTCTCTCTCTCTCTCTCTCCTAGAAATAAATAAAACATTAAAAAAAATAAAAAAAAAATACCAGATGCTGGCAAGAATGCCAAAAAAAAAAAAAAAACCAACACTGGATTTTTCATATATTGATGGGAGAAATGTAAAATGGCAAAACTTTTCTGGAAACAATTTGAGTTTCTCATGAAGCTAAACATGCAATTACCGTATGTCCAAGCATTTGCATTCTTGAGCATTTATCCTAGAGAAATGAAAACTTACATCTGTACAAAATCCTGTTCGTGACTGTTCATAGAAGTTTTAAGGGCCTCAAATTGGAAATAACTTGTGTTCTTTGATGAGGGAATGATTAAGCAAACACTGGAAGTAAATTGGCAAAAAAAAAAATAGTTAAAAACCATGGAATACCACTTAACAATAAAAAGGAATGGAGTATTGATAAATGCAACTTGAAAAAATCTTCAAGGTCCCTGGGTGGCTGTCATTTAAGCATCTGAGTTCGGCTCAGGTCATGATCTTGCTGTTTATGGGTCTGAGACCTGCATTGGGGCTTTGTGCTGACAGCTGGGAGCCTGGGGCCTGCTTCAGATTCTGTGTCTCCCAATCTCTCTGCTCCTCCACTCCTCACGCTCTATCTCTCTCAAAAATAAACATTAAGAAAAATTTTAAAAAGAAAAAAATCTTCAGAAAACTATGCTGAGTGAGAAAGAGCCAACTTCAAAAAAACACTTGCTATGACTCCTTTCATATAACATTCTCGAAATGACACAGTCATAGATGTGGAAAATAGATTAGTGGTTGCCAGTGGTTGGGAATATTGGATAAAAGAAAAAGAATAGTGTGATAAAGGAAGATAGAATTATACACACAGACTGTGCAATTTCAATTTAACGTTTCAATTATTGTGATATAATTCGGTTAAACATAAATTGGAGAAAGCTGAGTGAATTTACCTTTGAAATTTCCTGTGAATCTAAAACTATTTTAATATAAAAGTTTTAAAAATCAGTTCTGGGGGCACCTGGGTGGCTCAATCGGTTAAGACACCAACTACGGCTCAGGTCATGATCTCACAGTTTGTGGGTTAAAGCCCCGCGACCGGCTTTGTGCTGACAGCTCAGAAACTGGAGCCTATTTCGGATTCTGTGTCTCCCTCTCTCTCTGCCCCTCCCCAACTTGTGCTGTCTCTCTCTCTCTCAAACATAAATAAACATTAAAAATTTAAAAGTTTTGTTCTGAATCTCTATGAAATTTTAGAAATCTTGAAATACCCAAGTAACCATTAAAGAGCTGAAGTTAATAGAAGTTACATTTTCATCAAGGAAGAACAAGATTGGAAATGGCATATGAACTATATTTATACCTATATGCCTGGTCCCTATAGGAAAAGAACCAATTTGTGTTTTGTTTGAAAAATTTGCTGGGTTATTTCTACAGAAAAGAAAACAAAACCAAAAACAAAAATTTGTGAATTTTTAACTAATTTAAAAAGATATAATAATTAATATAAAATAAATACTTTCTCAAACAAAATAACATCGATAGTTAATTATCCTTTCTCAAAAATTTAAATGTATTTTGTTTAATTTCCCATCAAGGTTGTTCTCTTTGAATTTTTTTGCTTCATAAACATGAATATCTGCTTATAAATTTGTTGTTCATTTGTTCAACATTGTATTTGACATTTTTGTACAGTTCACTATTAATAAATTAATTAAAAATTAATAAAGCGATCAATTTCAAAAATGGACAAAAATAAAGTCTAAAAAAGTGTTCTGCAAAAGACTGCATGTGGTTTGAAAGTCTGAACATTTAGATAAATGTTATCTTTCCGCCAATAGTATATTAAAAATAAAAGTATAATTACTTTAATTTTTGCAAACTGACTAATAATTAAATTTTTGTATTCTAGGTACCTATTTATTTTTAATCATGTTTTATTCAGCATCTATTTATTATTTTACTGGTCAAACCTACTAAAGGTTCTATGTTTACAAAATTTCCTTTTGTATTTCTCTTATAAGACTTGGATTGGGAATCGAAGAAGGAAATATCGTTTAATGGGGATTGAAGTTCCACCTCCAAGAGGAGGCCCTGCTGATTTTTCTGAGCATCCTGAATCTGGTTCTTTGTCTGCACTCACACCAGGAGAGGAAGCTGGTCCAGAAATAGGAGAGGATAATGACAGAAATGATGAAGTATCCATCTGTTTGTCTGAAGGAAGCTCTCAAGGTATATTATATGCTGCATTTCCTAATAATAGCTTTTGTAACTTTGATGGATTTTAAATTACTTTTCAACTAATTATATTTCACATCTAAAGTTCTCAAAACACTTAGTTAAATATTTGAAAAGAAATTGGTTTATTTTTATTTATTTTGTTTTTATTCTACTGATATGTATATACACACATATTTATAATAAAATTATTACTGCAGTCAAAATAATTAACATATATATCTCCTCACATAGCTACCATTTATGTATATGGTAACAGCACCTGAAACTTACTCTCTTAGCACATTTCTAGAATGCAATGTAGAATTGTTAACTTTTTTGTTTTTTACAAATAGTTTATTGTCAAGTTGGTTTCCATATAACACCCAGTGCTCACCTCCACAAGTGCCTTCCTCCATGCCCATTTGCCCCCTCACCCCCCACACCCATCAGTCCTCTGTTTGTTCTCAGCATTCAAGAGTCTCTCTAGGTTTGCCTCTCTCCCTTTCCCCCACCATTTCTCCCCTTCTTCTCCCCCATGGTCCTCCGTTAAGTTCCTCCTAACGTTCCTAGACGTGCAAACATGATATTTGCCCTTCTCTGCCTGACTTATTTCGCTCAGCATAACTCCCTCAAGGTCCATCCATGTTACTACACATGGCCAGATTTCACTCTTTCTCATTGCCATACAGTATTCGATTGTATAGATAAACCACATCTTCTTGATCCATTTGTCCGTTGATGGACACTTAGGCTCTTTCCATGTTTTGGTTATTGTTGACAGTATTGCTGTGAACATTGGGTACATGTGCTTCTATGCAACAACACTCCTATATCCCTTGGGCAAATTTCTAGCAGTACTATTGTGTGTCATAGGGGAGTTCTATTGTTAATTTTTTGAGGAACCTCCACACTGTTTTCCAGAGGGGCTGCACAACTTTACATTCCCACCAAGAGTGTAGTAGGGTGCCCTTTTCTCCACATCCTCGTCAGCATCTAGAGTTCTCTGATTTGCTCATTTTAGCCACTCTGGCAGGTGTGAGGTGGTATCTCAGTGTGATTTTGATTTGTATTTCCCTGATAAGGAGGGATGCTGAGCATCGTTTCATGTGTCTGTTGGCCATCTGGATGTCCTCTTTGGAGAAGTGTCTGTTCATATCTTCTGCCTATTTCTTCGCTGGGTTGTTTGTTTTTCCGTTGTGGAGTTTGGTGAGTTTCTTATAGATTTTGGATATTAACCCTTTATGTGATAAGGCATTTGCAACTATCTTTTCCCATTCTGTCAGTTGTCTATTAGTTTCATGGATTGTCCCTTTGCCTTGCAGAAGCTTTTGATTTTGATGAAATCCTAATAGTTTATTTTTGCTCTTGATTCTTTAGCTTTTGGGGATGTGTCAAGTAAGAAATTGCTGCGGTGGAGGTCAAGGAGGTTGCTTCCTGCTTTCTCCTCTAGGGTTTTGATCGTTTCCTGTCTCACGTTCAGGTCCTTTATCCATTTTGAGTTGATTTTTGTGCATGGTGTGAGAAAATGATCTAGTTTCACTCTTCTGCATGTTGCTGTCCAGTTCTCCCAGCACCATCTGTTAAAGAGGCTATCGTTCTTCCATTGGATACACTTTCCTGCTTTGTCAAGATTAGTTGGCTGTACACTTTTGGGTCCACTTCTGAGTTCTCAGTTCTGTTCCATTGGTCTATGTGTCTGTTTTTGTGTCAATACCATACTCTCTTGATGATGACAGCTTTATAGTAGAGGCTAACGTCTGGGATGGTGATGCCTCCCATTTTGGTTTTCTTCCTCGATGTTACTTTGGCTATTCAGAGTCTTTTGTGGTTCCGTACAAATTTTAGGATAGTTTGTTCTAGTTTTGAGAAGAATGCTGCTGAAATTTTGATTGGGATTGCATTGAATGTGTAGATTGCTTTGGGTAGTAATGACATTTTAACCATATTTATTCTTCCAATCCATGAGCATGGAATGTTTTTCCATTTCTTTGTGTCTTCTTCAATTTCCTTCATAAGTTTTCTATAGTTTTCATCATACGTATCTCTTATATCCTTGGTTAGGTTTATTCCCAGGTACATTATGGTGTTTTGTGCAATTGTGAATGGGATCACTTTCTTGATTTTTCTTTCTGTTGCTTCATTTTTGGTATATAAAAATGCAACCGATTTCTGCACATTGATTTTGTACCCTGCAACTTTGCTGAATTTTTGGATCAGTTCTAGTAGGCTTCTGGTGGAGTCTGTCGGGTTTTCTATGTAGATTATCATGTCGTCTGCGAAAAGTGAAAGTTTGACTTCTTCTTTGCCAATTCTGATGCGTTTGATTTCCTTTTGTTGTCTGATGGCTGATGCTAAGACTTCCAGCACTCTGTTAAACAACAGTGGTGAGAGTGGATATCCCTGTCGTGTTCCTGATCTCAGGGGGAAAGCTCTCAGTTCTTCCCCATTGAGGATGATGTTAGCTGAGGGCTTTCTCATAGATGGCTTTTATGATGTTTAAGTAAGTTCCTTCTATCCCCACTTTATTAAGTGTACATTCAGTGTAATAAAAAGAGTCTTTATTAAGAAGGATGCTGTATTTTGTCATATGCTTTTTCTGTATCTATCGACAGGATCATATGGTTTTTATCTTTTCTTTTGTTGTGATGTATCACATTGATTGATTTGCGAATATTGAAACAGCCCTGTAACCCAGGAATGAATCCAACTTGATCTTGGTGGATCATTATTTTTATGTACTGTTGGATTCGATTTGCAAGTATCTTGTTGAGGATTTTTGCATCCGAATTCATCAAGGATATTGGCATGTAGTTCTCTTTTTTGTTGGGTCTCTGTCTGGCTTGGGAATCAGAGTGATGCTGGCTTCATAAAATGAGTCTGGAAGTTTTCCTTCCATATCTATTTTTTGGAATAGCTTGAGAAAAATTGGTATTAATTCTGTTTTAAATGTCTGTAAGAATTCCCCAGAGAAGCCATCAGGTCCAGGGCTCTTATTTGTTGGGAGATTTTTGATAACTGATTCGATTTCCTCACTAGTTATGGGTCTGTACAGACTTTCTATCTCTTCCCGTGTGAGTTTTGGTAGTGTGTGTGTGTTTAGGAATTCGTCCATTTCTTCTACGTTGTCCAATTTGTTGGCATATAAGTTTTCATAGTATTCCTTGATAATTGCTTGTATTTCTGAGGCGTTGGTTTTCATCAGTCCGTTTTCAATCATGATTTTGTCTATTTGGGTGCTCTCTCTTTTCTTTTTGAGAAGCCTGGCTAGAGGTTTGTCAATTTTGTTTATTTCTTCAAAAAACCAACTCTTGGTTTCATGGATCTGTTCAATTGTTTCTTTGGTCTCAATGTTGTTTATTTCTGTTCTGATTTTTACTATTATTCTTCTTCTACTGTGTTTGGGGTGCTCTTGTTGCTCTGCCTCTAGTTCCTTTAGGTGAGCTGTTAGATTTTGCACTTGCGCTTTTTCTAATTTCTTGAAATAGGCCAGGGGTGCAATGTACTTTCCTCTTAGAACTGCCTTTGCCACATCCTATAGAGTTTGGATTGTATTTTCATTTTCATTTGAGTCCATATATTTTTTCATTACTTCTCTAATTGGCTGATTGGCCCATACATTCTTTAGTAGGGTGTTCTTTCACCTCCATGTTTTTGGAGGTTTTCCAGACTGCTTCCTATGATTGATTTCAAGTTTCAAAGCATTATGATCTGAGAGTGTGCATGGTATGAACTCAATTATTTTATATTTCTTGAGGGCGGCTTTATGTCCCAGTATGTGATGTATCCTGGAGAATATGACATGAGCACTTGAGACGAAAGTGAATTCCTTGGCCTCAGGATGTAGAGTTCTAAATATATCTGTCAGATCCATCTGGTCCAATGTGTCATTCAAGTCTATGGTTTCTTTAGTGATTTTCTCTCTGGTTGATCTATCCATTGCTGTAAGTGGAGTATTAAAGCCCCTTACTATTAGCACATTCTTATCTATAAGATTGTTTCTGTTTGTGATTAATTGTGTTAAGTATTTAGGTGCTCCCATATTCGGTGCGTAGACATTTAAATTGTTAGTTCTTCCTGATGGATAGACCCTGTAATTATAATATAATGCCCTCCTTCATCCCTTGTTATTGTCTTTAATTTAAAGTCCAGTTTGTCTGATATAAGTATAGCTCCTCCAGCTTTCTTTTGACTTCCCATAGCATGATATATATTTCTCCATCTCCTTACTTTTAATCTGAAGGTATATTCCAGTCTAAAATGCGTTTCTTGTAGACAGCAAATTGATGCATTTTGTTTTTTAATCCATTCTGCTACCCTATGTCTTTTGATTGGAGCATTCAGCCCATTTACATTCAGTGTTGTTATTGAAATATGTGGGTTTAGAATCATTGTGTCCTTTGTGGGATTCATGCTTGTGGTGGTGTCTCTGGTATCTTGCCTTCCTTGCAACACTTCCCTTAGAGTCCCCTTCCGGATTTCTTTTAGGGCTGGTTTAGTGGTGACAAATTCTTTCAACTTTTGTTTATTAGGAAAGAGTTTGATCTCTCTTTTTATTCTGAATGACAGGCGTGCTGGGTGGAGGATTCTTGGCTGTATATTTTTTCTGTTCATCACATTGAAGTACTTTTGCCATTCCTTTCTGGCTGTCAAGTTTCATTAGATAGTTCTTTCACCACTGTGATAGGTTTCCCTTTGTACATCAGAGCCCTTTTCTGCCTAGCTGCTTTCAAAATTCTCTTTGTCCTTATATTTTGCCAGTTTCACTATGATATGTCGTGCAGAAGACCGATTCAAATTATGTGTGAGTGGAGTTCTCTGTGTTTCTTGAATTTCAACTTCTATTTCCTTCTCCAGGTTGGGGACGTTCTCTACTATAATTTTCCAGGACTCCTTCAGCACCTTTCCCTCTCTCTTCCTCTTCCGAAATTCCTATGATACGGATATTGTTCCGTATGATTGTATCGCTGGGCTCTCAAACTCTTCTTTCATGTTCCTGGATCAGTTTATCCTTC